GAGAAATTGGTGAGCATGAAATAAGGGCTGGTTTTGAACCAACAGCAACAAAAAACGCTCCGACTCTCGAATGTTTATAAAGAATGCATTGATCGATTCAACGTCAACAATAACAACGGGCTAATAACAGCACATGGATCAACAAATACAATAACAATGAAAATTCGCTATAAAACAATTTTGTTCAAATTACTGAAACCAATCCCCATAGCAGTAACTAGCGCTTTCTGATTACTGCCTAACCGCATTGCATCATCTTCCTTATCCTTATCCACCTTTCGTATCCGTTCCCATTCTTCAACTTTAAACTGGATCTCGAAGAACGATTTCAAGTGTCGAAAAGCATGAACACTGAAAACAAAATGATCATTCCACTTTCAAATAGGAGCAGCAACCCACACCTTGAAAAAAGGTGTAGATCGTTAGTCCCGACCAGCGGCATTATATGGCGACTTGCAGACTATTTCCTAGCTAGTCAAAGGCATGCCCGTGTACAAAAATGTTGTGCGGCTCAATGCTAGTGAAAAGCTATTTAACACAGGAGTGAGTGGAAAAAAAACACTAAAACCCATGGAGAACGTCCCCCCCCCCTCTGTAGAGACCCATGGTACGCGCTCTTACGAGTATAAGGTGAAGGGCGTGGCCGGACGAGTTCTCACTTATTCGAGCCAGCTCTTTCTTCTAATCACTTCACACTAACTATTCGAATTGGAGAGAGTTAGTAGTGGAAGGACCACACTTCATGCAGTTGAAAATGATAGCTGGGCGTTGCCGTGTTTGTTGGGCGGAGCTGTAACCATCAAAAGTGGGTCGGCTTTTCTCAGGTGCTTTTTTTCGGACTGGAAAGTTGATACCACCCCCAGCATGCTTTGCGTGACAATTACATGTCCAAGAAGGCGCCTGAACATGAAATGATCGCGGGGCGTGCCCTTAATAAGATACAACGCAGCGCTGCCTTGTTCTGTCGAATGAATCCTGGTATAAACGATTGCAACGACTATTTCACCACGCTCGCCGCTATTCAGGACCAACGATATGTACCACTGAAAACGAACACAGAAGACGAAAGACTCCAAAGAGCGAAAAGTAGCAGACAAACCTATAAACAGTCAAGGGGCCAAAAAGAAATTTTGAAATATCTTTTTGCCCAAGAGCCATGAAAGAGCTCGCCAGTATTTGAGCTGAACTATCCAAACATCCACCCTGAAAACATTGATTCATATTGGAACAATAATTTGTGTAAATCAAGCTTTGCCAGTGTTGCATTCACGGAGCCTTGACAACACTAGGCAATGATAAAAAGTAACCTAATTATCAAAAAAACGGGTATGAAAGAATTGAACACACTCTGTAGATTTCTTCCAGTAGTGCAATTGCAGCATTACTCCCAACATCCTCTGCTACAATTGGATCGCCAGCTTCTCCTTTCGGCTTTGACATCGCTTCTCCATGATACACAACCCCTTCTGTTGTTTCAGCCGTAAGGAACAATCCATATCCGGGAGAGCTGAACGAACAATTCAGTTGAAGCAACGATCACCCACGTGGTTATTATTCGAACTAGATAACAGCAATGTCCTGTTCAAGGAGCACTGGCAATTTTTCTGTCTTGCAGAGCCAACTTGTGGATCATACTCTTTTCAGCCTTGAAATCATGTTTATATTATGGAAAGGAGGGATACCGCAATTTCGGAGAATTTGAAAGAATCTGCGGAAAATGCGAGGGAAGGATAGTATCGTATCGAGCCGGTAAATTTGCGATTCTGGAGAACCGATGAGCAACAATTATTTAGGAATCGATCGATTTCGTAAACGAGTGGAATTTGGGAATCGGGAGAATGCGATATTCACGGAAGGGCGACTCAATCAATTCCTATCCGATACTATGCTATACACTTTTAAGACATGATCGTTGTGACGGGGCTCCCCAACAGCCGGCATGTCAACCTGGACCTGACGCGGGTACTGCCACCATTTGCAATACGTGTATATGTCTTGGCAGGAATCGAACTCCCGGCTCAGAATCCAACTCTGCCGAGACACAAACCAAGACTGACTTGATCTATGAAGGATTTCTTGCATGCTACAGAAGCTTCTGGAAAAACAGCTAGCCGAACATATTCGGCCGAAACTTTCCGCGATAGTTTTTTAAGCTTTGAGCTCCGTGTCCAAGTCAATTCCTCGTTTTTCCTGTTTTCGCGAGCACTTCAGCTTGAATATTGCGCGAAGAATTTGCAACGAGACAAGGAGGAAGGAGTAGGTGATCAACATCAACACCCTGGAGTTGCCTCCTCCAGGGACTAGCACTGGTTCGTCTGACAACGAGGTTAGCCTCGAAATGAACCGTCTGTTTTGCTGTAGTTTTTTTTCTACTCAACTCTACTATTCTTTTCTAGTGAGGGGAAAGCTTCTCATGACAGCTCACAGTAAACGGAAAGTACTTGCGGTAGTTCCAAGTCCCTACAGTAAAAGGCCCAGTATATTCGACTAGCGGACTGGAGCCAAAAAAAAATATTGAAAGAAACCAACTTTCCGCCGGAATCTCCTTTCCTCTGATCTACAGTTATGTATACATCAGCAATATAACCATGCAGCATTTTCTTTGCAGAATCGATCATTCGATAAGCCAGCGAAGGAGTCACCTTTGTGACGTATGCCTGCCCACGGATTTTGCATATTTTGCCTTGCTTCTCCCTCTGTAAAGAATTATATGGAGCTGCAATTCAGAATGAAGCCAGAAGAAGAACTAAATGAAAAAGAAACTCTGGCTGAGAGCCTCCAAATTAAGAAAGAGGTGAATATACTCTAGACTAGTAAAGAGACAAGGTAAAACAAACTTGTACTGGCCGCAATGTTTTGACGATGGGAGCTGAAAAAGTAATACATCCACCTCCGCCCGGCTTCATCCCGCGAGCACTGATCTAAAATATTCATAAATTTGATCCAAACAAAGCTAACCATAAGAAGAATCACAGCAACTCTTGCTGTCCGAATGAATATACCTTCAATTCAAGTTTTTCATCGTTGAGCACGAACTTGTTGTAAACGGGAAGCCAGGTCGCCCTGATAGCATCCACAGACAGCTCACCTGGTGCGTTTGTAACTCCTAAACGTCAGGAAACCTTACCATACACCTCTTTTGAATTCAAAGACAAACAAACCTTTCAATTTTACAGTCATTGGCATGTTTACAAAACGGAGAAATCAGTATAATCGGTTCCAGGAAATAACGATAAGCAACGTTCAACCCCACAATCCATTGTGAGCACTCCTCCTGTTATGATACCGGGGCGAAAGCGTACTTCGGTACCTGAATACGTCATAATTGTGGGACATAAAGTTTACACAACTATTGACCTATTCATTCGACTCGAAGGAAGGTAAGGGAACGTCATCAAAATTAGATCTAGAACAAATACTTATGCAAAGGGAAGCATATGTATGGATCAAGTAAATCGTTACTTCTCCCGATTCGCGCGTTCTGCAAAGATGATGCTAGCGAGAGAAAGCGATAACTCCCGCTAAGCAGTTCGTTGCGCATCCCCGAAACAAGAACGGTGAGAGAAATCCGTGCAAATATACAGCTCTGGCACGACCTTCGTTCTCCATTCTCCATCATACCTACCATCTTCTCACGTACTTTTCCCATTTTTCAAAAAAATCCTTAAGGCTCTCTAGTCCTTCCCCAAAAGACCACCCAGACAGCGGACATTCTTCTCAAAGGCAAATACAACCTCCTTACCTCCATTGAACAAACACCCCCAACGAACGCAGTGTCCCGTCTGAAATGGTAGAGAGGTCAAGACAATATGTACGCCGCGCAGTTCCTGATTCAAACATTCTTCCGGGTCGCGAAATTCCTCAGGCAGCGTTCAGACTTCGCGACGGCAGCGCCTCGGTCGCGCGTTCGGCGCGATCGATGCGCATGCTTTCGACTGCATCGATCGCGTCGAACGCGCGACCGAAGCGCTGCCGTCGCGAAGTCTGAACGCTGCCTCACGTCCGCAAAACATAGACGTGGCTCGTTTTTTCCAAGACCATCTGCACCAAATCATAAGTGTGTTTAATTCAAAAAAGTTCCTAGCCTCACTCCATTTTAGACATTGTTTTCTGACAAATAAGATGAATATGAAAATAAAAGGCGTGTGGATGTTCTAATCGTTACAAAGCAAATAAGGAATTAATTACCTGTTGCACTTATTTCAACCTTTGTGCCATTGGTGATTTTCTCCAACAATGCGATGAGTTTTGCTTCGTAATCTGAACCGAGTTGATACGAAAAAGAAGATCGTGTAAAAAAATCTGCCTACCTTTGATTCCGGGAGCATCGTCATCACTCCGAATATTTCTTATAGTAACGGGACGTCCGCTCAGCACAGAACATGCAAGTCTCTGGCGAAAAAAATTACAACCCTCGAAGACAAGCTCTTCTGTGGCCATGCCTTGGAGCTTAGTCTTTAAGTCCACAGTCCAAAGCAAGAATTAGCTCAACCAGGTGGAGAGGACCGAAATGGATGCGATGTTAGAACACTGAGTAATACACGCTCCAAAATTTCCAGAAAAAACGCAAACAAATCGATAAAATTGCAAGACTCCTTTCAAATGTACTAGTAGTTGACGATAATCAAGAAATGTCCCTACAGTTTCCAAGGAAAACTGTTATACAGTAAAATGCCGATAGTGTCGGATGACAAAGGCCGAATGTGAACCACAAAACGACCCCCTCAAAAAGGGAAACCTCTTCCTTGCGTACCGTTAAAAAAAAACAACAAAGGAGAATGAAGAAACTCTGCAGGATCGGCAAAAGAGCTTCGAACGCATCTATAGGATGGGAAGTAGTTTGCGTCAAATAAGTTGTTTGTGCACACCATACATGCAATCCTACGCGGCAAGCGTTTAAATCTGTATAATCACTCCTCGTACGTGAGGGGAAACGCATATGCCGTGGTAACGGTTTTAGTCCTTTTGTTCAGTCACGATTTGTTCCTACACGCCGCTGTGGCATGGTATTTTAAATGAAGAGGGACCACTGTGACGATTCTGTCTCTTCTAGCGTGCGGCTATAAAAAGGAACGACAAATCAACCCAGGATGAGAAGGATAAGACAAGGATGGGTGGAAACGATAATGCAAATGAACACATCGGAGTTCTGTTTCCGTGTATTTGGACCATTATGCTGGAACTTTCTGTTCAAGTCCGGTCTGCTTCTGTTTTGTTTCGAACTACACGAGTAGACGACTATCGGTCTTTACGAGCTCCTTTATGCGTACGATGCGATGGGCATGCTCATCTTTCTTGTAATATCAGGAAAAAAAACGAAAAGAAGCGCTAAAAAACTAAAGGCGTAAAAACGCCTACCAGAGCACGTGAAGTGCGAGGGGGGACGGCTTTTTTTTCAAAATGGCCACTTAGGCATTGTTCATACCCTGCGGTCCAGCGTTTCTCTGAAACGCGGCGGTTCGGCGAAAAGTTTTCGATATTACATGCAACATAGGAATCAGAGGAAGTTTTCGATATTGATTCAGCTAGTTCCCCATTCCGAAGAAAACGAAGAAGTTGCAACATTTTATGCAGTAATGCTAGAACATTGGTACAAACATTTAACAAAGAGAATTCGTTGAGGACTTTCTCCATGAGTGGCGGAAGGTAACTTTATCCTTCATGTGTGTTTGCGATGCCGCGGCGGAAACGTCAGTCATTGATGATTTCTTCGGTTTTGTTGATTGTCCGGGTAATGACGGACATAACACGTGAATTCAATGCCGACTGGAACGAGTGTGACTGCCGACAGGCGATGTATATTTCAAAGAACAATCTGGAATGTATACGGCGGTTTATGGATAAGGAAGACAAAGCTACATTCAAGACAGATTGTAAAACAAGAAAAATTCAAGCAACAGCCTGAATACCTTGTGTGACTTACGACAATATTCAGAGACCAGTCGGATCGCCCGGCTGACGCCGAGCTCTCCTCCTTCTTTTTAGCTGCTCCTGGCCTGGCTGCGCCAGCGCGCGCATAATTTGAACGCAACTTTCTCCACTATGTGTTGTATGGGACTTTATGGCGCGGATCACATCCCTGCTGCAAATATAAGCGTATGCTTAGGAATGCAGGATTCGCAACGTTTCTCTACCTGTAATGATTCGATCGCTACAGCGCCATATGAGTAGCCCACTGTCGAGAAAGTTGCGTTCAAATTATGCGCGCCTGGCGAAGCCAGGCCAGCTCGGCGAAGCCGAGCTAAAGAGAAGGAGGAGAGCTTGGCGTCAGCCGGGCGATCCGACTGGTATGCGATATATGCGATGGAAATTAGCTCGTTGATAAAACGACTACAGTGAGCTGTGCTCTTAGCACTGTCATGAAAATGGTGAGCACATTGTACCACCGGGGCTATAAGTTGAGCTAAAATAAAAATAGGAGGCAAAAAACAAATCGCATGAGGGTGAGGGTGAACATAACCTTCCATTCCTATCAGATCCTTTCGCTTTTAACGCATCGGCCAATGTTTGCCCACATAGTCCCCCATGACCTTCACCAACAGCGAATGTAAAAGTTACGCCACCATGGCACGATGGACTACGAAGATCACTGACACAGCCCACGTCACCCTACGCCTTATCTGCTCGTAGAAGAATGAGCATTCATCATTTTCCTCAATTCCAAGTACGTAGGCGGTCGAAGATCTCTGTTTCAATCTCTCGATCGATGTCCTGATACTTCTTCATTCAACGCACTACCTCTAGGAATATCCATCATTTATTGGAACCTCAGATAGCTGAGCAGTCGAAGCGTTCCGAGAAGGGCGACAGAACAATCCGTCTAGTGCTAGAGCTGTATTTAGGCGGTAACAGTTGTGATTGGCCACGCATACTGTGCCTGCCTTATTGCACCTTTTGTTGTACTCAATACAATGCCATTTGGTATACAATGCGCAGGCTTTGCTTGATCACCTTCCTCTCACAGGCCAATAACCTTTCACCCCTAATAGGATTTTGGAAACAAAGTCCCGCTGTTGCTGCGAGTCCCACTGTGAATTTGTAGTCCTTCGCTTTTACTGCATCTTTATCCGGACCTTATCAGTCTGATATCACAATAAGGTCCCCCACCAATAATTCCTTCGTTCCATCCAGTATTTCTGCGACCCTCACTATGGGCTCGGTCACCCTCCTCTTCTGACGCCCATTATCGAATCTTATCAATTGATATCACATCCTGCCACCCACCAAAGGTGTTCACACCCCCATCCCCCATATCACGACTTGGAACCGATCCACTGTTCCTGTGAGCCGCACTATGGATTCGGTCATTGTCCACTTCTGACCCCCATTATCGGGTCTTATCAATTGATATCACATCCTGTCACCCACCAGTGGTGTTCACACCCCCATCCCCCATATCACGACTTGGAACCGATATCCCACTGTTCCTGTGAGCCGCACTATGGATTCGGTCATTGTCCACTTCTGACCCCCATTATCGGTCTTATCACCATTGATATCACATCCCTGTCAGCCGCAGTGGTAGTTCACACGGCCCACCGCCCATATCAACGACTTGGATACCGAGATATCCCACTGTTGCCTGTGAGCCGCACTCATGGATTCTCGGTCATTGTCCCATTCTTGACCCTCCATATCCGGGTCTTATTCAATTGATATCAGATCCTGTCCCGCCAGCAGTGTGTCACACCCCCATCCCCCATATCACGACTTGGAACCGATATCCCACTGTTCCTGTGAGCCGCACTATGGATTCGGTCATTGTCCACTTCTGACCCCCATTATCGGGTCTTATCAATTGATATCACATCCTGTCACCCACCAGTGGTGTTCACACCCCCATCCCCCATATCACGACTTTAATTTACTTGGACCGATTCCCACTGTTCCTGTGAGCCGCACTATGGGTTCGAAACCACCAATCTGAACCCCTTATCTGGTCTTATCATTGATATCACATCCTGTCACCAAAAAAAAACATGGTGTTTCACAGGAAGACATCCCATACCCCATATCACCGACTTGGAACGCGATATGCCACTGTTCTGGCGGCAGCATAATCCTAGGGTCATCTATTAACGCGCGGCAGGAGTGAATGTCATATTCGTAATTAGGATGTTAATCTACCCCTATATACGAGTTTTTAGCCAGTTTGGTGACTTAGACAATGTAAAAAATGAGCTCGC